CATTCATGGCACAGTACCAGGCTAACCCTCCCCTGCCCCTCTCTTTTCCTAGTCTTAGGATATGTTAGAAACATTTTATAATATATTTTTATGTGAATTTATTATATCTTGTATGATAATTTTGAATTTTATTGATTTTAATTTTGCAATTTATTTTAAAATCTGGGCAGATTTTGTACATACAATTTATCATTTTTAAATTATTTAAATAAATTACCGACAGATTAGACACGAAAAATCCATCGGTAGTTCAAATATTTTTATTATTATTATTATTAATTGTGTCGGTAAAAAGCCATCGGTGATCTATCGATCAAAATGGCCGTCGGTGACCCGTCGATAATAAGTGTCTTTGGTAATCCGTTGGTGAAAAAGTCCGTCGGCAATCATCGATAATAAGTGAGATCAGTAATCCATCGGTAAAAATGGTCATGGCTAATCTGTCAGTTGCAATTTTTTAAACTCAAAATCAATTGTAATTTTCTAAACTCGAATCAATCTCACTTGATTGAAATTTTTAAACTTAACGTCCTCTTAATTTTTATAAAACTAAGGGGATACACCTCAAACTTCATCATAAAAAGGACAAAGTTACAAACTTCATCCATTCCTTCACTATTTCTCTTACAATTTGAGACAACTTCACCAACATTTCTATAGTTTTTTTGTCTTTTTTAATTATGATTTAAACAAACAAAAATAATTGATTAGTTCTTATAATTAAGAAATGCATAATTTTGTTTACATATTTAAACATATAAGACACTTTTATTATATTATATTATATTATATAAATTATTTTATAAAAGTAATTATATCTTAAAACTAATCATATATAAAAAGATCGAGTATGTCACGAGTTTTTCGAGTCGAGTATTAAGTAGCTTGACTCGACTTGTTAATATGTCGAGTCAAGCTCAAGTCCGAGTCGAGCCTATTCAAGTCGATGTTGACCAGATTTTGACCACGTTGATCTCGGGTAGCTCGCGAGTTGTCTTGTATCATTTACACCCATATCCGTCGGTAATTCCTTTTTGCACAACATTTTTACCAAGGGACTTTCACCGACGGATCCAGCTTATAGCGACGGATTACCAAGGGATATTCCCGTCGGTGAAAGTCATATGTTTTGTAGTGCGACAATCTTACCCGGTAAAAGGGAAGACAAAGATCAAAAGTTTTATCGGGTAAGTGAGAATAATGACTCTTACCCGGTAAACGTTTATCGGGTTATAAAAGCTTACCATTAATCCATTTTGATGGTCGAGAATGTTATCCAATAAGATAAGTGAAACTTGTGACTCTTGTCAGTAAGCATTTGGTAAACGACCATTTAGTATAGTAGTTTTCTACGGTATTTTCTCCCCTTCCAGGTGAGTTCAAATTGGGATAAAAGATTTTGAAATAGAACCTCACATACAAAAAGCAAAGAACTAACCAATAATGAATTTATAAAAAAAATTCCATAGTCTCGTTTCTTATAATCAAACTCGACTTTAGTAGACTCGAATTAAACTCGAGCTCGACTCGACATACTAACGAGTCGAATTGAGCTACTCGATACTCGACTTGATAAGCTCATTAGATACTCAGAATTTTTTATTATGTATAATTAGTTTTAGGGGGGCCTTTCAAAAACTTGCAAATTCATGATATCCGTGAAATCTAATTTAAACCATAAAAAATTAGTTAGAAAATTAATATATATTAAAATTTTCTCCCTCTCTCTTGTCTCTCCTATTTCTTCTCCATCTCTTCTCTCTTCACTCTCCCGATATATCTCTCCTCTTTCCTCTCCCCGTAACATACACGTACACATACCAAAGGGCCTTTGGCCTAGCGGTATCGTAGCCTTTGGCTTTCTAGGAGGTCAGGGGTTCAAACCTCACCATAGGTGAGGAGGGTGTGTGAGTTTATTTGTTGCATTTGCCGTATATAAATATTATATACTTCAAAAAAAAAACATATACATACACATATAATTGAATATGAATTCAAAGTGAACACCTTTTTAGAAATACTATTATAGTTTTGTAGATACATTGTAAATACATTCTAAATCTACGAGATCTGGTATAACTTCTGAACAAATTTTGAACATAAACTAATCAACAAAACCAAATCTAAACAAACCATTTTGTGAATATCTCTACGTGTTAGAAGTTAGAACTAAGGGGCCGTTTACCAAACACTTACTCGATAAAATGTTTACCGGTAAAATTTGACACTACCACTTACTTACCAGGTAAGACTTTAGTCCACCAATACGGTATCGTATGCAACAATTTACCCGGTAAGCGCTACCATGGTAAGAGTCGTCGCCCTCACTTACTGTGTAAGACTCTCGGTCCTTGTCTCTCTCTTTCCGGGTAAGATTTTTGGTTCTTATAATATTTATATACAATAAAGTATTGTGACTTGATAAGCGCTTATCCGAATAAGCGTTTGGTAAACGACCCCAGTAAAATTAACTCATAAATTCTTAAATATATCTCATTCTTTTAAAAATAATCAAAATTTTAATTAAATTAATTATATAAAAATAAGCATTTTATTTTTATTTAATTTCATATGCATATTGATAGACGTTTTTCTAATTTTTTTAACCAAATTTTCAAAAAAGTATGTTTATATTAATATATTTACTATGTTATAAAGTGTTTACCTCATATTTTTAAAAGAAATTCCAATTTATAATTTATTATTGTGTACATAAAACTAAAGTTCCATGTTTTAAATACTGAAAAAAGGTTGAAAACTATCTCAAACTCTAAAAATTACACAAAATCATAAAAATAAAATCGAGAGGAGCGGATATTAGAACGGAACATGAAACATGAATGATTAACGATTTGTTTGTTAGTAGTCTAATGAATTTAATGAGACTCATAGCTTATCTGGTCATCTATATATGATTGTTTAATAATGGTTTAATAATATAGAAAATGACTTATTTAGTAAGCTTCTAGGAGGACTTTAAGCAGAAAGCTGAGATTTTTTTCTCAAACATGTCCCTCCAATTAAAAAATACGTTACTTTCATCTATGAAAAAATAAAGGGCAGACCTATTAAAGAGGGGGGCGGACTCCTATGCACCCACTCACTCGAATATTGCAAGAAGGTTTTTTCAAACAATAAGGAGCTGGGTCAAGTATTCAATCAATTAATATTGAACTTTGAATGATGCACCTGCTTGATTCTAACGGGTGTTCTTAAATAATTTGAAACCGAAATTGTAACAGAAATTAAAACGAGTGCCACACGTACAATTATAGATATTACCTCTAATATGCCAAGACAACTTTTTATTAATTTTTCTCCCATTTTAATTTTATTATTTTTTCTTCATGGTTTATTTTCCTTCCCGACTTCAATTCATCTTAAAACTAGTCATTTCTTTTACCTCATTTTCAAACAATGTATTTATTTTTAATCAAGATCGCTTCCAATTAAAAAAATGTATGGTATTTCTCAAATCGATACAATTGACTCTTCCATGGTCAAATGATGTTAACTTCCACCAGGTGAAACCGTGATTTTATAAACCCACCTTAAACGTACACCTATTTAGAAAAATTCTTACGTTTGTTACTAAAAAGGACCCTTTTAAACCAAAAAGAAATCCCTATCTGTGTAGACTGATTAAGGGATCGTTTACCAAACACTTATCCGGTAAGCGTTTACTGGTAAAATTTAACACTATCACTTACTTATCGAGTAAGATATTAGTCCACCAATACGGCATCGTATGCAACAATTTACCCGGTAAGCGCTAACCACGGTAAGAGTTGTCGTCCTCACTTACTAGGTAAGACTCTCGGTCCTTGTCTTCGCCCTTACCGGATAAGATTCTTGGTCTTTACCATATTCATCCAGTAAAGTAATATGACTTAGTAAACGCTTACCTGAATAAGCGTTTGATAAACAACCCTAATTTAGAAAGATGACTCAATAACTTAAGAAAAACCCAACGAGTTGTGAGTTGTGATAGACAATTAAAAATAGAAAAGAGAGAGAAGATGATATAATAATGAGAAATTGGGTGAGTGAATTAATGGTAGTTGTAGTTGGTTAATGATAAGTCGATAAGTAATGATGGGAAGGAGAGTCCATTCTACGCCACCCAAAACTCTATATGGATCAACCTCTTTGCATCACCAAGCAACCCACACACACCTACACTTTATCATCCCCATCCCCCCTTTTTAATTTTAACTTTATTCATTTCTAACACACATATAATAATCTTTATATATATATATATATATATATATATTAAATCTAAATATCTGTAAATTCCCCTTATTTCAAAAAGAAGAGGACGGACTATTCACATTTTATCCTAACAGACCATTAAACCTGAATCTTGTTCATCATATGGTGTTTTCTTATAAAACAAAAAGTTATTAAGTTTTGGAATAAGATACAACTATTATTTGGTCTTTATGTCCATCAAAATTCCTGTTAAAAACAATGTAACGTTTATTTTCATAAACATGTTTCTTTTTTTATGTAAATTAACTATTATGCAAGCCGACCTCTAATATTCCAACATCTTTCTTGGATGCTACAAACACATGTTATTGAGATTAATTTCTTACCGGGTAATTTTCTTTATCGGATGAACGTTACAAGGGTCAAAAATCTTACCTGATAAGAGCAATGATAAAGATAAAGAGTCTTACTTAACGACTCTTACCCGGATAAGTGCTTACCGAGTAAATTGTTGCATACGATACCATTTTGATGTATTACAATTTTACCCGATAAAATAAATTTTAATGTTGACTCGTAAAGATAAATACTTGTTGAGTAAACATTTAGGTAAACGCCCCAAAAATTTGTTAGTTTGGTGACGATAACCTAAACAAAAACTAAAATAAGCGTCTCTCCAACTTTTTTGATGTGATGTATATTTTTTTTAGTTTTTACTTTGAAATTGAGAAAAAAAAAAGTGGTGTCTTACAAATACAAACGACTCCATGGATGGGTATAGGGTTTGTTAGCTTTTAGTTGGTGGTCTGTCCATTCATCTAATGCACCAAATATACCTCCATATTAACACCACCACCCTCATCCATCTTTTCCGGCCCCGGACTTCTACCATGGGAACCACCGTCCAGATCATCAGAACTTCCATCCATACTTTCCTCCACCACTACAATTTCTTCTCAGCCGCTGCCATTTTAGCACTCCCATTCTCTGCTTCACTTCTCCTTTCTTCCTCCTCCCTTCTCCCTGATTCCCTCTCCGTCCATTCCCGACTCCGGTTACTTTTTGACGCCGCCGGATTCCCCCCTCAATCGGAATTCTTTTCCATTCTCAACCTCAAACTCTCCCAAACCATCACCTCTTCAATCCTAGTCCTGCCCTTTACCCTCTCTTTCCTCCTCATCGCTAAAGCATCCGTAATCCAATCCCTTAACATCCGCCGTAAACCACCACCCTCCCTCGTCCGAATCTTCATTTCCATCTTTGAAACACAGATTTGGAACACCTTGGTAATCATATCCGCAAACGCCACTTGCTTTTGGGTCCTTTTTATTGCCTTCAACTGCTTGGAAAACCTCCATATTCCCTCCCTATTCTTCACCGTCGTCGGAGGAATCACATATTCCATCATCATCGCCAATGCCCTGATCATGTGCAACCTGGCACTAATCCTCTCCGGAATGGAACTCAACGGTGGGTTCATCTCCATTCTCAAAGCTTGTGTGATGATCAGAGGAAGAACTTCAATCGCTCTGTCATTAGCTCTGCCAATTAACATGGCGTTGGCCGGAATCGAAGCCCTCTTCCAGTTCCGGGTAGTCAAAGCTTACTCCGATTCCGGGATGAACAAACCCACTTCACCCATGGTGCTAGAAGGATTGTTCATTGCTTATTTGTACTCCATTCTCATCATAATCGACGCCATAACTGGGTGTGTGTTCTTCAAAAGCTGCAAAATAGCTTACGATCAGAACACGGTGGATCATGAAGCAGGTAGGATCAGATTCAAGGAAGAAGACGATGAATTTGCATTGGTAAAGTGTGTAGCAAAAGAGCTTCCTTGAATTATCATATTCTTTTTTAATTTTTGTGATTGGGGTTTTTTCTTTCTTATTTCGGATTAAAATCACAGGCTGAGAATGAGTTTATAAACTCTCCTCTGGATTACATTCATATAGTAAAAATAGTCTCAAAATTTGAATATAAAACAATGTACAACTCTTATTTGCATAAAGTACAAGTTGTTATCAGCATTTTACCTTCGGGTAATATTATTGGCCATCAAAATGGTAAACATTTGCCGGGTAAAAGTCATCACTTTCACTTATTGGGTAAAACTTTTGATCCTTATATAATTGGTTTTCTTCTACTTATTAAATAAGATTTTTGGTTCTTGTCATCTATAATTAGACCAATAAGTGTATGGAAATCAAGAAAACCGAAAAGTGAGGGATGAAGGCACCGGTTGACTAAGAAAAGGTAGTTGGGTGTAAGTTAAGCAAACAAGCACCCATAATTAGGTCACTATCCAAATACTATGTCTATGTTTAACCGCATATTTATTTATGAATTATTTTTTTTAGAAATAATAAATGTAAGAAACAATTATGATTTTTTTTAATTATATATTATTAGACCAACATTTTTAATGTATTAAATTACTGTTATCGGATTATAAATATCGTTCAGTGTAAAATTCTATTTCTACTTTTTCAACATGTTACAGATGATGATATTTTTATGTACGAGTTTTTATACAAACGTAATGAAATTGTTTTTCAATAAAAGGTATGATAGTTTTAACTTCTTTGATTGTAGATTGAGTAAGGACTTCTGATTGTTTCATGTTATATGCACAACTGTCGTTAGTTTGGTTCAAATGGGTCCAACCCCAACGATGTAAAAGGTACATTCTTTAATTAATGTAGTTTAGTTGTATTTAAATCCGGTGTTGTTTCTATAATTAGTATCCATTTAAACGAAAACATGTCATTAACGTATTTAACACATTTAAATCATATTAAAATACATCAATTGAGAGACGTGAAAATTGATTTGGTAATAATTGATCGAGGGAAATAATTGATTAAAGTTAATCGATTGAGAAAAGCCGTTGTTGAGGATTTGAAGAACAATGTGAGACAAATAAGAGGTTGGTTTACCTCTTACCAGATATGAGGACAATAAAACATAAGTGTCACTGAAAAACTAAAAAAAAAAAAAAATAGTCTGAATGGTTTTACCTCTTAACGAATCAGACGTAAGAAACCAATAAAAGCTTTTTTTATAAAAAACAAACAAGACATCAGCATTGTTGTTTATGGTTTATACAAAAGCAAGCTTCTTCTTTAAATAACTTTCAATTACATTATATATCAAACCACATGGAACATTTAAATAACGCATGGTTATTATATAATGCAAATTTAAGACACAAATAAAATCGTAACAGAAACTTGAAACAATCGTTTTCCTTGAATCACAAGCAAATTTCTCCCTTCATGAAAATCAAAACCTTGGAAGAACAAAATGATCAAGTCTATGATGGTTAGGTTTTAGCGGTCCAAATGGCCCTCAAATGAGCTCCATTTCCTCGAGAACGGATGGATGTGTAGATAACGATAATGAATCATATTATTATGGGAAAAGTACAATAAAAACCAATGAACTTTCTTGTTTGGAAAGATTAAGTCTTTGAACTTTTTTTGGAACAAATAAGTCATTGGACTTTCCAAAACATGTTAAATAAGTCCTTGAACATTCCAAAATATGTTAAATAAGTCATTGGACAATTTTTGGAACAAATAAGTCCTTGGACATTCCAAAAAATATTAAATAAGTCCTTGGACAATTTTTGGAACAAATAAGTCCTTGAACAATCCAAAACATGTTAAATAACTTTTTGAAAAAAATAAAATGGTAAAATAGTGAAAAAAAATCCCGAAAAAAACCCAATGAACATTCATATTTTGAACGATTAAGCCCCTAAATATTTTTTTAACCAAAAAATATTTAGATCTATAAAATTAAACAAATATAACAAAAAARTACTTACATTTACAAAAAAATAATTACCATTTTAACTAGTTGTACAAGTCATAAGAATGTATCCAACATGTTTTACAAAAGTTCAAGAAGTTATTTAACATGTTTTGGATTGTTCAAGGACTTATTTGTTCCAAAAATTGTCCAATGACTTATTTAACATTTTTTGGAATGTCTAAGGATTTATTTAACATATTTTAGAATGTCCAAGGACTTATTTGTGCCAAAAAATTGTCCAATGACTTATTTAACATGTTTTGGAAWGTTCAAGGACTTATTTGTTCCAAAAAAAAGTTCAAGGACTTAATCATTCCAAACAAGAAAGTTCATTGGTTTTTATTGTACGTTTCCCTATTATTATAGATTTATTACCAAATATTTGTACTTTTTATCATCCAAAACATCAACCAAACACCCCTCAAGTCATGATTGAGGTCATGGCTAATCATGTACTTTAAAAAAACGAACCATAACCATCAATCATATGTTAGTGTCGAAATGTCCAAATCCCAACTCAACTACGTTCTAAACATGGATGGGTCTATTAAGGTGACATGTCCCATCACTAAATTTGTTTGTCGTAATGAAAAATCTTTTTATGATCATTGATGGTGCTGCCATAAGCGCTTCTATCAAGAGGCTACACTAGATAAAGACGAAAGATCGTGTGAAAAGCGTAAGAAGAGATCTAATTTGAATTTTTAATAATTAATAATTGTGAACCACAAAAACCTTAACTGTAAATTGTTGTGTTTGAAACTGATTTGTCAATGTTTTATATTGTATTTGATAACTATAATTAACTTTTACTTTATTTATCTTTTATATTGTTGTTTTCATCAAGGCTACAAAAAGTATGGATCCACGTCTACCATCTTTATCCTTAGGTATCACGACTTATTCTATGAAGTAAGCATTTCATCATGTTCTCACATGATCATTCCATATGAAAACCCCATAAAGTACCACTCTATATACTTGAGGAAAAAAAGCAATAACAGATATATGTGGTTAGGTTATATATATATAGAGAGAGAGAGAAGGGGGGGGGGGGGGGGGGAGTTAGTTTCCCTAGTAACCTAAAATTGATTAAAAACCCATGAAGCCTCACATGTTTTTTTTTCAAATCATGAATCACACATTCATGATTAGTATGTTGATGAATGATACATCCATGTTTCTGATGAATATGTCTCGTGTCGCGATGTGGGTGGTTCTCTGATTCCTAATCAATTTTAGGTTCCTAATAAAACCTAATCCAATATATATATATATATATATATATATATATATATATATTATGTGTGTAGACTTGGAATCATGTGAGACCAACCTGTTTTCGTGAGACCCGTGAGACCATTTTTTTTACACTTGAAACTTCACAGTAAAATGTTATGAAGGTAACCTTCACAGTGTTTTTGCTGTAAAGTTTCAAGTGTAAAAAACTAGTCTCACGAAAACAGACTGATCTCACGTGAACCCAACCCTATATATATATATATATATATATATATATATATAGAGAGAGAGAGAGAGATTGGTTCAAATACT